CTCTCAGACCACAGTGCAATCAAGTTAGAATTCAGAATTCAGAAACTAACTCAGAACCACACAGCTTCATGGAAACTGAACAACTGGCTCTTGAATGTTGACTGGATAAACAATGAAATGAAGGCAGAAATAAAGATGTTCTTTGAAACCAACGAGAGTGAAGACACAACATACCAGAATCTCTGGGACACATTTAAAGCAGTATCTAGAGGAAGACATATAGCAATAAATGCCCACATGAGAAGTAAGGAAAGATCTAAAATCGACACCCTATCATGAAAATTGAAAGAGCTAGAGGAGTAAGACCAAAAAAAAAAAAAAAAAACTCAAAACCTAGCAGAAGACAAGAAATAACCAAGATCAGAGCAGAACTGAGGAAGATAGAGACACAAAAATCCTTCAAAAAATCAATAAATCCAGGAGCTGGTTTTTTGAAAAGATCAACAAAATAGACAGACCACTAGCCAGATTAATAGAAAAGAGAGAATAATCAAACAGATGCAATAAAAAACGATAAAGGGGATATCACCACAGATTCCACAGAAATACAAATCATCATCAGAGATTATTACAAACATCTGTATGCACATAAACTAGTAAACCTGGAAGAAATGAATAAATTCCTGGACACTTGCATCCTCCCAAGCCTAAACCAGGAAGAAGCCGAAACCCTGAATAGACCGCAATAACAAGGTCTGAAGTTGAGGCAGCAATTAAGAGCCTACCACCCAAAAAAAGCCCAGGTCCAGACAGGTTCACAGCCGAATTCTACCAGACATACAAAGAGGAGCTGGTACCATTCCTTTTGAAACTATTCCAAACAATCCAAAAAGACGGAATCCTTCCCAAATCATTTTATGAGACCAACATCATCCTAATACCAAAACCCGGCAGAGACTCAACAAGAAAAGAAAACTTCAGGCCAATATCCATGAGGAACATAGATGCAAAAATCTTCAATAAAATACTGACAAACTGATTGCAACAGCACATCAAAAAGCTTATCCACCATGATCAAGTTAGCTTCATCCCAGGGATGCAAGGCTGGTTCAACATACGCAAGTCTATATACATAATTCACCACATAAACAGAACAAAAGACAAACACCACATGATTATCTCAGTTGATGCAGAGAAGGCCCTTGACAAAATTCAGTAGCCCTTTATGCTAAAAACTCTCAATAAAGTAGGTATTGATGGAACATATCTCAAAATAATAAAAGCTATTTACAACAAACCAACAGCCAATATCATACTGAATGGGCAAAAACTGGGAGCACTCCATTTGAAATCTGGTACTAGACAATGATGCCCTCTCTCACCACTCCTATTCAATATAGGATTGGAAGTTCTAGCCAGAGCAATCAGGCAAGAAAAAGAAATAAAGGGTATTCAAATAGGAAAGGAGGAAGTTAAATTGTCTCTGTTTGCAGACAACATGATTGTATATCTAGAAGACCCCATCATCTCAGCCCAAAATCTCCTGAAACTGATAAGCAACTTCAGCAAAGTCTCAGGATACAAAATCAATGTGCAAAAATCGCAAGCATTCCTATACACCAATAACAGACTTAAAGAGAGCCAATCAAGAATGAACTGCCATTCAAAATTGCAACATAGAGAATAAAATACCTGGGAATACAACTAACAAATGATGTAAAGGACCTCTTCAAGGAGAACTACAAACCACTGCTTAACAAAATAAGAGAGAACACAAACAGATGGAGAAACATTCCATGTTCATGGTTAGGAAGAATCGATATCGTGAAAATGGCCATACTGCCCAAAGTAATTTACAGATTCAATGCTATCCTCATCAGGCTATCAATGACCTTCTTCACAAAACTGGAAAAAACCACCTTAAACTTCATATGGAACCAAAAGAGAGCCAGCATAGCCAAGTCAATTCTAAGCAAAAAAACAAAACAAAACAAACAAACAAACAAAAAAAGCAGGAGGCATCACACTACCAGATTTCAAACTATACTACAAGGCTACAGTAATCAAAACAGCATGGTGCTGGCACCAAAACAGAGATATAGACCAGTGGAGCAGAACAGAGACCTTGGAGGCAACACCACACATCTACAACCATCTGATCTTTGACAAACCTGACAAAAACAAGCAATGGGGAAAGGAGTCCCTGTTTAATAAATGGTGTTGAGAAAACTGGCTAGCCATGTGCAGAAAGCAGAAACTGGACCCCTTCCTGACACCTTACACTAAAATTATCTCCAGATGGATTAAAGATTTAAACATAAGACCTAACACCATAAAAACCCTAGAAGAAAACCTAGGCAAAACCATTCAGGACATAGGCGTAGGCAAGGACTTCATGACCAAAACACCAAAAGCATTGGCAACAAAAGCCAAAATAGACAAATGGGACCTAATCAAACTCCACAGCTTCTGCACAGGAAAAGAAACAGTCATTAGAGTGAATTGGCAACCAATAGAATGGGAAAAAATTTTTGCAATCTACCCATGTGACAAATCTACCCATCTGTAGATTCTGACAATATCCAGGATCTACAAAGAACTAAAACAGATTTACAAGAAAAAAACAAACAAGCACATTCAAAAGTGGGCAAAGGCCATGAACAGACACTTTACAAAAGAAGACATACATGAGGCCAACAAACATATGAAAAAATGCTCATCATCACTGGTCATTAGAGAAATGCAAATCAAAACCACATTGAGATACCATCACATGCCAGTTAGAATGGTGATCATTAAAAAATCTGAAGACAGCAGATGCTGAAGAGGATGTGGAGAAATAGGAACACTTTTACACTGTTGGTGGGAGTGTAAAGTAGTTCAACTATTGTGGAAGACAGTGTGGCAATTCCTCAATGACCTAGACATAGAAATTCCATTTGACCCAGCAATCCCATTACTGGGTATATATCCAAAGGATTATAAATCGTTCTACTATAAAGACACATGCACACGAATATTCATTGCAGCACTGTTTACAATAGCAAAGACCTGGAACCAGCCCAAATGCCCATTGATGATAGACTGGACAGGGAAAATGTGGCACATATACACCATGGAATACTATGCAGCCATCAAAAACGATGAGTTCGTGTCCTTCGTAGGGACATGGATGAACCTGGAAACCATCATTCTCAGCAAACTGACACAAGAACAGAAAATCAAACACCACATGTTCTCACTGATAGGTGGGTGTTGAACAATGAGAACACATGGACACAGAGAGGGGAACATCACACATTTTGGTCTGTTGGTGGGAAATAGGGGAGGGACAGTGCGGGGTGGGGAGTTGGGGAGAGATAGCATGGGGAGAAATGCCAGATATAGGTGATGTGGAGGAAGGCAGCACATCACACTGCCATGTGTGTACCTATGCAACAATCTTGCATGTTCTTCACATGTACTCCAAAACCTAAAATGCAATTAAAAAAAAATGAACGGAAAAAAAAAATGTTTATTTATGTTGCAAATATCCATTTTTTCCCCATTGCTGTAAAGTAGCAGTCCGCAACCTTTTTTTTTTTTTTTTGAGATGGAGTCTTGCTGTCACCCAAGCTGGAGTGCAGTGGCACAATCTCAGCTTACTGCAACCTCCACCTCACGGGTTCAAGCAATTCTGCCTCAGCCTCTGGAGTATATAGGATTACAGGCGCCCGCCACCGCGCCTAGCTAATTTTTGTATTTTTAGTAAAGATGGGGTTTCATCATATTGGCCAGGCTGGTCTTGAACTCCTGACCTAGTGATCCACCCATCTTGGCCTCCCAAAGTGCTAGGATTACAGGCATGAGCCTCCACGCCCCACCTATTCTCCAACCTTTTTGACACCAGGGGCTGGTTTCACAGAAGACAATTTTTTCATGGACGGAGAGGGCGGGTGGGGATGGGATGGTTTCGGAATGAAGCTGTTTCACCTCAGATCATCAGGCATTAGAGTCTCATAAGGATCGCACAGCCTAGGTCCCTCCCACGCACAGTTCACAACAGGGTTTGTGCTCATATGAGAGTCTAGTGCCACCACTGATCTGACAGGAGGCGGAGCTCAGTTGGTAATGTGAGCAATGAGAAGCAGCTGTAAATACAGATGAAGCTTTGCTGGCTTGCCTGCTGCTCACCTCCTGTTGGGTGGCCTGGTTCCTAACAGGCCATGGACTATTACCAGTCTGCAGCCTGGGGGTTGGGGACGCCTGCTGTAAAGTATTCTGAATGAGCTATATATACTGTATCTATTATACTGCTGATGAATATTTGTGTTCTTGTTTTCATTTTGAATAAAACTGCTGTGAACATTCTTGTACATGCCTTTTGGTAGAAGTAAGCAATAATTTATTTTAGGTACTTGGGTCTCCATATATATGTTTAGCCTTAGTAGATACTGCCAGACAGTTTTTCCAAGGAGTTGTTGAATTTACACTCCGTCAGCAATGTAACAGAGTTCCAGTTATTTTACATCATTAGTACTTCTTGGTGTTGGCAGTCTTTTTAATTTTAACCTATCATGGCTACTAGAGAAAGGGTTAAAGTTTTTTGAGAAGCATGCCATAGGATGTTTCCCTGGCCTGAATCTATTAATTGCCTTTTAGTTTGATTGTCCAACTCCCATGGTTCCATTTTGTTCTCAGTATAAGTACTGAGTAATTTAAGTAACTTAGTGGCATGCCTTTACTGAAATCCACATATATTTTTGTGTGAGACTTTTTTAGTCAGCAAGGACCAGAGATATTTGCAGATTATTATTGTGAAGACTGTATTGTACTTTAGCTTAAGTAAGGAAAACAGGTGAAGCAAATGCCTTTTAAGAGAACAATGGGAAAGTCGCTTAGAACCCAAGGTAGCTCAAAAGCCTAAACCTTCTTGAGCCCTCAGCAGTCGGATCTATTGCTTCTTCCTTTAGAACTGTCACATCCTGGTAACTTAGCTTCACTTTACTGTTCCTGCTGCTCTGACTCCTCTGCTTATACCTCCTCCTCATATTAACTTTCCTTGTGTCTATTTCTTCTAGCTACTGCCCCAGCTACCAGCTAGAGGAGTCACTCCCGACAACTATTTCAAGGTAGAATTTTCACTAAGCCATTTCACAGGCTGTGGTCAATCTATGCGTTAATCCACATTGAGACAAGTGTCCATCCATAGTCCAGTTAGGTATGGCCCCAGTAAGCAGGACCATGTGGTATCAACATGGCTATTTACGATGAAGACATTCCCTTAGAAGGGCACTATGGGAAAAGCAAGCAGTCTGAGTACCTGGCTAGTTTAATTGTATATATTATAGTCTAATTACTGTGTATATTATATTCTAATTCAGTAGACATTTCTCAAGCCCTCTCCTTATCTGTCAGTAAACTCTTGGAAAAGAAAATGAACTGTTTATACTAAAGAACTTTTTTTTTTTTTTTTTTTTTTTTTGAGACAGAGTCTCGTTCTGTCACCTAGGCTGGAGTGCGGTGGTATGATCTCAGCTCACTGCAACCTCCATCTCCCAGGTCAAATGATCTTCCCACCTCAGTCTCCCAACTAGCTTGGCCTATAGGCACACTCCGCCATGCCCACCTAATTTTTTTGTAGAGACAGTTTCACCATGCTGCCCAGGCTGGTCTTGAAGTCATGAGCTCAAGCTATCCACTTGCCTCTGCCTCCCCAAGTGCTGGGATTACAGGTGTGAGCCACTGCACCCAGCCTGAAGAACTCTTCATGGTGAACCTATCCCTGTAGACTGGTTGCTAACAGGCCATGGACTATTACCAGTCTGCAGGCTGGGGGTTGAGGACCCCTGCTGTAATGTATTCTGAATGAATTACACTGTATCCATTATTCTGATGATGAATATTTGTGTTATTTCATACTTTTTTATGAATAAAACTGCTATGAACATTCTTGTACATGCCTTTTGGTAGAAATGGTATATATAAATTCTGTAATGTCACATTATACCACATTATGCCACTTTCCTAATGCTTATAGTCTCCTTTTATATGTTCTCAAATAATATATAAGTCCTAAAATATATCTGTAGAACAGGGTCAAGCCCAAAGTGAATTTTATTTTGTAGACAGCGGAGGTTAGGATGTGTGAGGTATACCTGGTTGTTTTAATTCCATTTTACAGATGAGGAAACTGAGGGCCAGAGAGGCAATGAGATTTTCCCAAAGTCACATGGCTAGGAAATGGGGGGCAGAGGCAGGGGGCGTCAGGAATTAAATCCAGGTTTTCTGGTTCCATATCCAGAACTCTGTCCATTACCCAACACTGACGTGCCCCATACTCACGTCCAGACTAATAAAAGCACAAAGGAGATTTGATAAAAGCAAACTATAGCCAAGGCAAGTGGTGAGAATTGAGAGGAGGCAGATCTCCTAAAGGCTGAGGTGACCTGGGGGACTGCCTCAAGGTTTTGAACTAGACCTCGTAGAGTTGGTTGGATTTAGAATGGTGTAGAGAAGGGAGAATGGTGCAAATGAAGATACAAAAGTGAGGAAACAAGAGATTTTCCAGAGACAGAAAAGAGACTCGTGTTGCTGGGTTAGAGGGTTTATATAGGAAAGGAGTGGTAAAATGTGTGGTAAAAAGTAATGAGAGTTTGATAGCTGTGACAACTTTAATTTTTAAAAAATCAGATCATAGCCATGCACGCACAGTGGGTCATGCCTTTTATCCCAGAGCTTTGGGAGGCCGGGGTAGGAGGATCGCTTGAGTCCAGGAGTTCAAGCAGTCTGGACAACATGATGAGACCCTGTCACTAAAAGAAGTAAAAAAAAGTTGGCCAGGCTTAGTGGTGTGTGCCTGTAGTCCTAGCTACTCAGGAAGCTAAGGCAGAAGGGTCACTTAAGCCAGGAATCCAAGGTTATAGTGAGCTAGGTTTATACCCCTGCACTCTAGCCTGAGTGGTAGAGTGAGATCTGTCTCTAAAAACATAAACAAAACCAGATCACATCATGAGATTATGGTGAGAAGAAAACTTGAAGTCATTGATTGTTAAGATTCCAGGCTGAGGTGAAAAGGACTGAACTAAGATGATAGCAGCTGGAAACACATCAGATTTGAGAACGTTGAGAAGGCAGGATGAACAGGATCTGGAGACGGCTTAAATATAAGGGGAGGAGAGAGACATGGAAAAGAGAACTGTCACCTGAGAGTTTGAGCCTTTGTGACTGGGACACTCTGGTACCAGCATCAGAAGAGGAGGAGGCAGTATGTGTAGTGGGTTAGCTTACAGGCTTTGGAGCAAAGCAGACCTGGGACCAGTGACTTAACTCCTCTGAGAGGGTTTGCTGGCTGCTGTGTAGGGAGACAGATTCCCACTTCTCAGAGTGGATGTGAGGGTGGGAGGTATTGCAGGTAAAGTGAAATTCTATAATGTCACATGCTTGGCATCCAGGCGCTTAACCAAACTTTAGCTCTCCTCCTCCTCACCCCAACTTCTCTGGAAGATAGCAGAACCCAGTTCAAGCGTCATTTTTTTCATAGGCTTACATACAATATGCTCTTTTTAAAAAATAATAATAATTAAACAAAAAGGAACTGGCTTTACAGAGAGAATAGGCTCTTCCACCTTGTACTCTGAAGTAGAGGACAGATGGAGCCTCTGGGCTGGTCTCCAGATCCCCTACCTTTTTTTTTTTTTTTTTGGCATCCTTTGATATCTAAGCTTTAATCAAACATTCAAGGAGCCTGGTGTGGTGGCTTGTGCCTGTAGTCCCAGCTACTTGGGAGGCTGAGGCAGGAGGATCACTGGAGCCCAGGAGTTGGAGCCACCCTGGGCAACATAGCAAGAACTACATCTCTTTAAAAAATTATATATATATTAATATATATTATATAAATAATATAAAGTATAATATATCATAATATCTAGTAATATTATATACATATATATGAAATAAAATACAAATTCAAGCCCACAGAGAGAGTTAAAGATATCTTTGTAAGGCTAGGTGCTTCCAGAAGCAAGCAACTCTACTGCCTCTCTGGTGTCGTCATGGCCTCCCCCTTGGGACTATTTCTGAGCTTAAGGGTGGAACTCTGGTGGCTCACTGGATTGCGGTGTGCCTGTAAAACGTGCCCAGCTTCCAAGCACTGCGTTTCTAATAGTTTGGAAATTCTGATTGTCACCCAGAGATACGCAGATGGAAACTTGGTTTGGGCAAAGCTCTAGCAAAGGCTGCACCGAGATGCCCGTTCCCTTGCCCTATTAACCCAGGCAGCGCAGGCAGCCCAGCCAGCTGGGGCTGCCATTCTGGAGCTGCTTCCGGCATGCTTCTCCTACCCTGGCAGCGTGCCCGCCAAGGGCTCGCAGTGCGGCACAGAGCGTAGCGCAGTGCCACACCGGCCTAAGCCGCGTGACTCCCCTTCCACCCTGGCCATCACGTATTTCCGCACGTGCGCCCAGTTGCCATAGCACCTGCAGGCACCGGGACTCAGACTCAGCAGGCGTCGCTGGCCACCTAGCAGCCTGGGTGGCCTTTGGGCTGCGGCTGGCTACCGCTCTCCAGTAGAGAAGGGCGGTCCCTGGCTGGTGGCCTGGGGCTGGCCTCGCCCCACTTCCTTTCCTTGGCATACCTGACCCTGAGTTCTGGTCCGCACCCCGTGTTCATTTCCCACCCCTCTTCCGCGCCCCGATTTCCCGTTTAGAAAGTTCAGAATTGAACAATCTGGCGGTGTTCTCTCGCCAAGGCATAGCTTCCATAAGGAGGGCAGGCGACAGAACTTTGTTCCCATTTTGCAGCCAGTCTCCTAATATCTCTGGAAACAACTTCTTGATCATTCCAGAGGTGGGCACTTCTAGCCCCAGGCAGGATGTTGTTTGGGCCCTGTAAATCTAGGGCTCTCCCAGCCTACCTCCCTGGCACTGGGCTTGCCACATGTAAGGGAATTGGATGGCTGGTTTATTTCCATCTTATATGAGAAAAGGAAGGGTTCATACCACTTCGAGGAAAAAAGCTTGAACCTGAAGGATCACAGAATCCTGCACCTCCACTACCTGTGAGACACTGGGCAAGTTACCTTGCTTCTCTGAACCCCAGCAGCTTCATTTGTAAAATGGTTGTAACAAAAGAATCTCTTAGGTTTCGTATAAGTCTATATGAGATAATACAGGTAAAGCAGTTAGCCAGGTGCCTGGCTTATAAGTATTCTATAGGAGCCAGTCAGCTGTTTTTACAAACGGATACAGCTGTACTGCTAAGAACCAAAGTACTCACATCCAACAGTTGGCAAACATTTTCACATTCATCCAATTTTTTCTCATTTATTAAATTATTCATTTGTTTAACTCATTAATGCATTCAGCATGTGTTTACTGAGCATATTATCAGTTAGCTCTTGCCCTGGTCCAGCTATATTTTCTAAGACCCACCCCCAGGAGAGTTTTAACTGGCCTTGCAAGAACTGATGAAGTCTAGTCTGGTGGGTTGGATATAAGATCTTATTCTACTGGCAGTGGGGGTTCAAAATGTGTTTTTTTGCAGCTCTAACTTCATAGACTGAGGTCCCTGAACAAAGCAGACCTCTCTCATGTCTGGGAAGCACTAAGACATAGTAGCTTTCCACAGCCACCTTTGCTTCTCACCCCTTACGCTTGGGGAGTTGTGTCCCCCTTCTCCAGAAAGTCCCAGTCGGCAAGCCGGAACCTGCTCTTTCTGTAGTGGGATTCGGTTTCCTAGAACTGACCTCTATTATAGTCTTCTGTGCTTTGCTGTGCTGGAGTTGCCAGAACAACCCTATTCTGTTTTCAATGCTCCCAGCACTTTCATGCTGTATCCTTCTAATGCTGTCTCCTTCTTGCCCCCATTGTGCATGTCAGGGTCTGTCTCCAATTGGAATGGATTGGCCATACTGCTGCTCATACTTGCTTGCACTGCCACCCCCTCACCCCCATGCCCTGCACTTAGATTGTGTGGCAGAACCACTACTGAGCAGGCACTCTTCTGGATGTCTGAGAGAGGATCTAACACATGCACAGTCATCAGACATCATATGTGTGATAAGAACCATGATACATAGTGTTGTGGGAATAGCCAGTCTGGGGCAGCTGGCTCTGCCTAAAGAAGTCAGGGAAGGCTTTACCAGGAGGTGATAGGTGATGTTTTTGAGTCTTTTTTTTTTTTTTGGAGTCTTGCTCTGTTGCCCAGGCTGAAATGCAGTGGTGGTGTGATTTCGGCTCACTGCAACCTCCACCTCCTGTGTTCAAGGGATTCTCCTGGCTTAGCCTCCTGAGCAGTTGGGATCACAGGCACCCGCCACCATGCCCTGCCAATTTTCTTTTTGTATTTTAAGTAGAGACAGGGTTTCACCATGTTGGCCAGGCTGGTCTCGAACTGCTGACCTCAAGTGATCCACCTGCCTCAGCCTCCCAAAGTACTAGGATGACAGGCATGAGCCACCACACCCGGCCGAACACTATTGAAGTATTTACCTTGGTAGACAGTGGGAGAAAGTGTATTTCAGGCAAGAAGCATAGCATGCATAAAGAGCTGAAATTCCATGATGTTCTTAGAGAAAAAGTAATGTTATGTGACTAGAACTAAAGGATTATGTTATTTGGGTTGAGGGCTCATGAGTAGCAGAGGGAGGAAATGAGGCCAGAGAGGTAAACAGGGATCTATTCATGAGGGCCTCGTAGGATGTTTTAGGCTTTACCCTACCAACGCTGAGATCCTGTGAAGGTTTTATACAGGGGCATGACATGGTCAGATTTGTGCATGAGGAAGGTGGGATGCATGGTTGTAAGGGGTAGATTGTCTCATTTGTCCTCTAGCAATTCTGTAAGACAGGCAGGGAAGACACTGTTATTTGCTTTTTACACCGGAGAACACTGAGACCCAAGAGGTTAAATCAAATACCTTGCCCCTTAGGTCTCAGAGCCAGAAAAGAGAGGACCTGGGACTCACCTGGCTTCCTGGCCCTGAATGTCTTTCTCCTGGGTGCATTGCCATTGTTAAGAGAGTCTTCCAGAAAGCTGCTTGCAGCTGAGCATTGGGTAGATGCTGGCAGGAACGTTCTGAAGCAAATGGCCATTGATACAATTTCACTGAGGAAGTATAACACTGGGATTTTGCGTCCTTTTGGTGTTCAGTCTCTTGACCTCTTGATCTCTTGTGCCAGCGCACAGAGAGCAAGAAGCAGTGGGGAACTTTGAGCCTCAAGCTCTACATTGGTTTGACAAAATCCATTCATCACTGTCTCACTCATTAATGTGCTGTCTGATACTGATGTTTGTCAGTGACTTGTTTCTGGAAGCCCATGGTCCTCGAGGCTGGTCGGCTCTACAGTCCACAGCCCCAGGGTGAACCCCAGCAGTCAGAGGCAGGGCTTTTCTCCCTCTGCATTTTGTAAAATAAAATAATTTTAAAACAACAACAAAGGTAATATGATGTGGCAGTAAAGAACACTAGCTTGGCGATCAGGCAGACCTGGGTTTTAGTTCTGCTGCGGCCACTTGTCTAGCTGTGAAGGTTATTTAATATGTATGCGTCTCGGTCTCCTTATGTCTAAAATAAGCAAAGTGAAACTTACCTGAAAAGATTGTTGTGATGGCTAAAATGTGAGAATGTTTATAAAGTACCTTGGCATGACACCTGGCACGTATGAATCCTCAATATGCTGGCTTTAATTCCTGCAGTTACTGCTGCCACAGCCACCACTACTACTGCCACCACAGTTAAAGAATATTTGGAAAATAGAGAATAGTAGAAAAAATATCTTACAATGTTACCACCATGATACAGCTACCCTTATAATTTTAATTTCCTTCAAATCCTTTTCCCTCACCACTTCTAAACATTCCTAATTTTATAGTATATATATTTTATACCCATATGGGCTTTTTTTTTCTTTGTGGTGGTATCTGCATTACACTTATTTTGTCTAACTTTTAAGATTTTTTTCTGATTATAAAAATTATGCATAAAATTCAGAGTATAGAAAAAAAAAAGAAAAATCATACTCATTGTTAATATTTTGATGTTATCTCCTTCCAGTCATTCCTATTCATGCTTTGTTATAGAGTTTGAGATCATAGTATATATACAATATTTATGTAATTTTTAATATTATGAATATTTTCCTGTTATTATAAGCATCATTTTCCAAGGCTGCATAAGTCCAGCAGATGGCTCTACCATAATTTACATAAGCATTCCCTGATTGTTAGACATCTGAGCTTTTTCCAGTTCTTCAGTCTAAATAGCTTCCTGTAGTGGACCTAGGGAACCAGCCTCATTACAGCCAGGAAGCATATAATGAACTTGTACTGTATATATGGTCCTGAGTGAGGCACAGTGGGAGACCTCAGGTCAATCAGACACAGAGCCAGCCTTAAAGGAGCTCAGAGACTAAACAACCTGGAAATACTTACTGGCAAATAAGCACTGTCAGGGGTTCCACTTAAGTGTGGGTAACCCTTTTTCCTGTGGAAGCTGGGATCTGGGAAGCATAGCTTCTACACAGGAAAAAGCCTGGGAAGCCTTGCTGCTCCTTCTCACCTGTGAATATGCAGGTTGGCTTCTAATGCTCAAATGCCTTTTGAGCTACGCTTGTCAGGAGCCTGAGCTAAGAACCATTGAATATTAACTAAGAACTGTTGAATATTACTTCCAAGTGGTTTTCACTAGGAAAGAGTGAAAAATACCACCAAAGGAACTTGTGGGAGAATTAAGAGAATCAGAGTGGCTCTAGTAATAGTTTTTTATTTTTTTTTAATTGACATAAAATTGTATACGTTTACTGTATATAACATGATGTTTGGAAATATACATGCATTGTGGAATGGCTAAACTGGCTAATTAACATATTACATCTCATAGTTGTCATTTTCGTGGTGAGGAAACAAAATCTACTTTTAGCGTTTTTCAAGAATTTAATATATTGACTATAGTCATATATAATAACATGGAGGAACCTGGAAGATATTATGTTAAGCAAAATAAGTCAGACACAGAAAGACAAATAACACATGATCTCGTTCAATAAGGAATCATTCATATGTGGATTTAAAAAGTTGATTTCATTGAAGTAGAGGATAGAGTGGTGGCTCTCGTCTTAGTTTTGTCACAGACGTGCCCTGGGACCTGAGGTAAGTTACTTCTCCCTCCCAGGCTTCTGTCTTCTCCTCATAATGTAGGTGATCTCCAGGGCTCTTCCAACATTAACATTCCAGAGTACTTGAAACGTTCCTCTTGTCAGGAGCTAAAGTAAGTATCCTGATAAAGGTCATAGGATAATTCTCCAAAGTGCAGAGCTACTCTTAATTAGTCCTGGGGAACCATTTATGCTTTTATATTTCCAGTCCTTCCTTCGCTAGCAGTTGGGACATATGGAGACTGAAGGGCAAGTGTCTCTCACTGGTTGGAAACCCTGGATTCAGAACATCAAAAATTGTGTTTTGTGCGTTAGATATTTTTTTTTTATGTACTTTGTTCTTTCATTCATTCCCTCTTTTAGCAGATGTTAACTGAGTCCCAGGCCTTTTCCAATCCATCTGTGCAATACAGAGGTGAAGGAGACTAAAATAGATGTAGTCTCATAAAGAGACAGGAAACAATGATAAGAGGCAACAAGATGGTTGCTGCGGTGGGGGTACATTTAAGGGCATAGGACAGGTGCATCTGAGCCTGCCTACAAGCAACAGCAAAGGGGTCTTAGTAGATACTTTGAGATTTAAAGGATAAGTAGAAATTTTTTAGGTACACAGTAGAGGAGAGGACATTCTGGGTGGAGGAACAAACATGTGCAAAGGGCAAGAGGTGTGAGAGAACATGACATGTTAAAAGAACTGCAGATAGTTTGTGTGGCTGGTAGGTGAAAAGGAGAGTGGACAGATGAGAAAAAGTCAAACATTTCTCAATGGACCAGTCTGTTTCCACTGAATTCTTTGCTCATTTTATCAGTCCACATGAGAGTAATGGTCTTTTTAGTTCAGTTTTCAAAAACTGTTATCTTTATTGCCTTATTTTTCCATTTTTACAGTAACATATGCTCATTATAGAAAGTTTGAAAAATACAAAAAGTAAAAGGAAGAAAGGATTTAAAAAATTACTCATGGTCTCACTAGCTAAAGACAACTTTAATACCTGATGAATTTCCATTCAATGTTGTTTTTACTTTCTCTTTTTATGTGGCTGTGAATGTGTTGTAATTATAGTCTCAACCTTTGTGTATGATGCTCCTTTCTATTTCCTTCCTAAAATTTGCCAAAAATGGAGGTTAGTGTCATTAGAAAAGAACTCTGATTATAAAATACACTAGCTGAAATATCTATCCATTTTCTTTGTCTAATATAAGTGTTGTTTTTTTTCTCTTTTTTTACAGGTCTCATGTGGCTCAGAGCATAATTTGGCAGTAATTGGTAAGTAATTTTTATACTGATAACTGTTTCTTCTGAAAATTATGTGGCAGAATTGAAGACTTTGGTTAACCAAAAGCCACAGTGCATGCAGGCATGCATGAGTGTTAGGGGAGACTGGGGGAAATGGAAGTCTTTGGTTGACCAAGGGTTTACTAGAAGCTCTTTTCCTGAATATTTCAATTCATATTATTGAGCGTCATTTTAAGGCGTCTTAGCTGGCTTCCCTGCCGGGGAAGTGGCATTTGAGCATATTAAAGAACTTACAGGCTGGGGGTCATCATGTGTAGAAAGCCAGACATAAAAAGGAAGGATGATTGGACTGCTTCTGTTTTTTTGAATAAACCCCCATTCTAAGTTCTTTCCTATCGGTTTGGCTCTTTCTTTGTAAATATGCGGCTCTGCTCACTGCCCTCACTGTCTTGTATTTAGTGGCATTCAGAAACTCTCAGTTGGACTCAAACATTTGGTTAATAAAGGCTTCCTTTTAGTTGGCCCTGGAGAATCACAGTTTAGTGTTTTTATAATTAGATCTATGAGTACTTCATCCAAAAAGCCTTCTCATTACTTCCACAGATAGACTCAGTTTCCATCTCACAGTACATTAAAGAGACTACAGTGTAGGGCCAGATTGCCTAAGTTCAGTACAGGCTTCTGCTTACTAGCCATGTGAACTTGGACAAGGTATTTGACTTCTCTATGCTCATCTTTAAAATAGGGAGGACAGTAGTGCCTACCTTGTAGTGTTGTTGGAGGGATAAATGAGTTAAGATATGTAAAGCACATAGAATGGCACTTAACTTCTAGTAGGGGCTTTGGTAATGTTTGTTATTATTACCTGATATTATATGTTCAAGTAATTGCCCTCCTGTGGGCTTTAGTTGCCCCATCTGTAAAATGGAGAAGTTAAAACAGAAAACCAGGTTTCTGTCCAGCCCTGATATTTTAGGACTCTTGTTACAACCCCACCACTGACTGATTTGTGTCAATAATTTCTGCTCCTGGTCACTCCTGTCTCCTAGCTTCTAACTTTGAACTTCTATCAGGCAAGGCCCTTGTGTTTTCCTCATTTCTTGCCTATTCACAGCACCTAAAGCAGTTTGTGGCTCTTAGCAGAGACTCACACATTCTTTTCTGAATTGAGCTAGACTGGCTCAGCTGCCTGGGGTGGCAGCAATTTGAAGCACTACTTTGCAGGCCCAAACATGATGTATAAAGAGGCAGAACCAAGGACAGCAGAGCAGGTGGGGAGCCACTGGGGCTGGAGTTAGAGAAGGAGCTAGAAAATGTAACAGCAAACCTGCATGCTTTGCAGTAGTACCAGATACTTTTTACTGGAACTGCTTCAGCCTGGGTGTAATTAAGACAAGCTAATCGAAGAGTCAAAGGCGGTTCCTAGGACATTGCTGCTACTGCTATCATTGGACTGGGAGAGGTTGGGTTCTCCTGGAACCATCACAAACAAGAAGATTGCAGGGAATCTAAATTTGTGAAAGCACAAAGTCCAGATGAAGGAATGGGTGAGAGCTAGCAAAGCAGCAGGTTGAGCTGCTGTAGGCAGCCTGGGGCTGTAGAAGGAGCAAGACTGCAGGCAGACAGCCTTGGTTCAAACCAGCTCCATCTCTGTGTGAGCGTCATTTTTCCCCTCATCTTTGTAATGGGGATAATCATTCCACCTTTGAAGATTATTGCGATGAGGTGAGATAATTTATGTGAAATACCTGGCAGATAAAAATTCCTTTGATTTCTCTTTTCTCTTGGTCAGGTAGGGGGAAGGGAGGAATATTTGTTAGTGTAACTGTTCTAGTGAAATATTTCTTTGTTAGGAGAGAAACAATGACATTCTGGAAAGATGGGTTCAGTGTTACCTGTGATAGGCTATCAGAGGTAGTGGGAGAACAGGGCATGCTGGTGAGCACTTGAGGGCAGACCTGTTATTTTCCATTTTATCCCCAGTGCCTGGGACCTGGCTTATAGACTGCTGAATGAATGGTTTCAGAGTCAGGAAAGGTGAGTGTAGTCACCGGGCTCTGCACATACGTAACTGCCTGCCAGCTGGGAGCAAGAGGCTCTCCATCACTGGAGGAATGAGGTCCTTAGTGGGTGCCCTGCAGGGTGCAAGCTTTGTGACAGGAAGCTACAAGAAGCTACCTGTTAGCCCTGGCAGGAGGCCAGCAAGAGACAAGTTGCAGGTGGAGAAGAGTTCCTACTAGCTTAAAGCCATGTTTCTCCACGGCGTTGAGCTCCTCCCTCAACCCTACTACCTTGGCCTGCTTTAGAGAGATTTCCCTGCCTTCAGTCTCATTCCCTGAACTCTAGCCCTTCAGTGCCTGGTGCTATGTCCCACATGTAAAATGCACAAAATAGTTATAGAATAGACTAGAAGAGAATATAAAGCAGCCAAACTTTGCCCAAGCATAGAAGCAACCTTAATGTCTAATGAATGTGTGAGAGATGAATCAACTTGGAAATGGAGGTGAAACAGAATGGTGAAAGGACACAATTGAGAACCTACTGTCTTAGGTTAATGGACGCAACTCATTGAAATATATTTGTTGTGTGGGATTAAATGGGTTAAACAGGTTGCAGAGGTAAGTTGTAGTGCTACCTGAACAATGGGCTCACTGTCCAGTGTATATTAGAAGCGAATGCTGTGACACTGGCTTTGAGAAAGGAAAAAGCTTTATTGTGAGTCAGCTGACAAGGAGACAGGGAGGCAACACTAGATCCATCTCCCCAGTCTGGGAGTGGGTCAAGCTTTTATGGCATTTAAAACTAATCCCAGGTGATGCCAGTGAAGCAGGTCAGCCAGGCTGGTGGTGGTAACAATTAGGTTGCTAAAGCTTTTCTCCTGAGCATGCCGGGTAACTTTGGCTCTGCATTACCCATAACTTAATAGTGGTTAATTGGTTTGAGCTGGTCCTACGGTTACAGCAGTAAATAGTAGAGCTGGCAGCCTGACTTCCAAAATGCGCCTTCCACCCTATCATTTCCTATGGCCTGAAGCAATATGGGTAGTATGGGTAGCAGTTAAGAAGAGCTCAGGCATTGGGGTCAGATTGCCTGGAACCAGATTCTGCCTCCTACACTTATGAGTTGTGTAACCTGTGTAAGTGGTTTAACTTCTTTGTGTCTTGATCACTTCAACTGGGATATCATATTATTGCCCTCATAGGGTTATTAGGTAAAGTGCTAAGAACAATGCCTAACACAAAAGTAAAGACTCAGCAAATGTTATATGCTATTATTATTATTCTAAATTAAGACATCAAGGAAGGAAATAATTATAAGATGACTACATGAAAGCCTGAGGCAAGGGTAGGAATCTCAGGAGCTAGAGAAGAAAGTGTCTTTCCCAGCCAGGATATCAGGGTCCACAGCAGGATCTCAGCATAGCTGCAGGATGGATTGTAAGCTGGAGCCTGGGGTTCCCCTCATTGGGGATTCTGGACATCCAAGCAGCCCTGGAAACAGTGCTAGCCCAGGTTTGTTCAAGGACAGGATTCTGCTATTCATTGTCGCAGACAGGGACTCAGGTACTGCATGTTGCAGCCTGAAGCAAGCCACATGGAAGCCACAGTTCAGTTTCTTGTGAAGATGGAAATTCTACTCTGGTGCTTCTGGGTTTCTTTGTTCCCCTTCTTTTGAAATTTGGTTTAGTTATTTCCTTAGTTTTCCAATTAACTTTCTCTTGACATGTTTTGTCTTTGCTACCAGGTACCCTCATGGCTAGACATGGTGGTGAGGTGGTATGAGTTCCTGCTTTAGACTAAGGAAGAACTGTTGGAGCTGAGCATAGAGAGACTCAGGTGACAATCAGAAAAGAGAGAGACAAGGCCATTGACCATAGCTGGCTTGGCCACTCTCAACCTATGTGCTTTGTACAATCACTCTGCCTCACTGAGCCTGATTCCTCATCTGTAAAATCGACATCATGATACCCACTCCCAGATGTTGTTCTTCCCAATGGCATAGGTATGTCAAGTGCATGCTCAGTACCTGCCATGTCATAGGTGCTCAGCAGGTGCTTGTCTACTTGGCTGCTTCACTAGTTCACTTTCTTCCTTTCCACCCAGGATTTCTTTCCACATCTGACAAAGCTCACTCATCAACTCCCGTTTGTGGGCATAGGCTGAGGTGAATTGAGGGCATGTGGCCATCACTTGCTGAGAAGATCCCTGCCTTTCAGAGTCGGGGTCCCCAGATCCAGCTCTGTTTTCAGGCCCCTCACCTCTGTGTCTGGATGAATTGGCTCCAGCTGTTGTGCTTCCACCAGGAGCAGGTTATTTTGGCTTGAATGGGCAATTTGTTTGCTTTCTCCCCTGATGTGCAGTTGTTTTGTCTTCCCTTCCTGCAGAGAAAAAAGCTGACTGCGTTTCCTCTCTCCCTGTTCCACACAGACCCTTGGAAGGATTTTATTGGTGGCCTTTTCCTGGAGCACTCAGGCTTGCCAGACAGGCATTGTTAACGGGTTGGTTATTGGCAGGAAAGTGTGATGCCTCCTCCTTCTCCAAGCAGAGCCAGTTCTTTTACTAAATTGGAGCTATAATCTATGCACAGATTTTTTTTTTCATTTCACAGATAATTTCCAATTGTTGAACCATTCTACCTTTATAATATGTATGGCAGAACATCCGACCTTGGCATGAAACCCATCAAGCAATTTCATGTAATAATTTAATAGCAAAATAGAGAAATAACTCTTTTTTGGCACTGGATATTCTACTGAGCAGTGATATTGCCAACCCTAGGATCTTGAAGAGAGCTTAGAGGCAGATATAAACTTCTATGTTTCTATGCACAACGTGATAGGCAGAATGTAAATGCATTACCAATCTCATCCCATTTAATCCTCACAGCAAATTGATGAGCTGGTACTCTGGTTAATCCCATTGTCTAGGTAAGGGAAAATGAAGCCAATGGTGAACAATTTACCCCACCCAGGTCACAAGAATAGGAAGAATTTGTGTCAGGTTTTTTACCCATGCCTCTAATTTCAGAGCCTGTGAACTACTACCCAATGCTGCCTTCCTGTAAACTGGTGACAGTCTGGCCTGTTTTTAAAGCCACCAGATAGGAGTATTTCATCTTTTTGTTTTAAAATAAAAAACTCCCTTCCATGCTATCTCCTTCTGTCCAGTCCTCCAAAATCCTTCTACCGCACGTGCAGCTAATGGCTGTTATTAGTTTCTTCTGTATCCTTCTAGTGTTCTTTTGCATATGTAAGATAGGTTTTTATCCTTGTTTTTACATAAATGGTAGCATACTATACACATTTCTCAGTGTCTGAGTTTTCCCAACAATTTTTTCTGGGAGATCTTTCCGTATCAGTATAAAAGCTGTCCTAGTTCTTTTTTATACAGTTACATAATATTCCAATGTTCCTATGTACCTTGATTTATCTGACTAGTACCCTATTCTTGGACATTTATGTAATTTCTAGTCTTTTGTTATTATAAGCAATGCTATAGTGAATGACCTTCTATATATTTTATTTCATGTGTAGGAGAGTACAATTGTAGGATAAATTCCTAGAAGTGAAATTACTGTGTCAAAGAGTAAATGTATTTGTAATTTTGCAATATACTGCAAAATTGGCCTCCATAGGGGCTATACCATTTTTCACTCCCATTAGCAATGCATAAGGGTGCTTATTTCTTGCAGCCTCACTAATAGGATATGTTAAGAAACTTTTGGATTTTTGCCAGTCTGATAAGTGAGCAACTACTCAGGGTAGTTTTTGTTTATGTTTTCAAGTTGAAGTATAACACATATAGTCTACTAAAGTGCACAAATCTTAAGGGTTCAGACTGATGAATTTTTACATATGCATATACTTAAGAAAACACCACCCAGAGCAAGATAGAGAACATTTCCAGCACCCTGGAAGACTAGCTGATGCTCCATCTCAATCTGTAACCCACCCCCAGAGATAACCGTTCTTCTGACTTCTATCTACAAAGATGCCTGTGTTCAAACTTCATATAAATGGTGTTTGGCTTCTTTTGTTCAACACATTGTGTCTATAAGAATCATTTACGTTGTGTATAGCAGTAATGTTTTAATGCTCAGTAATATTCTACTGTGTAAATATACTGCAACTTATTTATCCATTTAACTGTTGAACATTTGGGTTGTTCCAATTTGGGGATGCTCTGTACATTCTTATACATGCCTTTTGGTAGACATATACATTTATTTCTCTTGGATCCATGATTAAGACTAGGAATTCTAGTTCATGTTTAGTATTAGTAAATACTCTGCAACAGTTTTTAAAGTAGTGGCACCAATTTACACCCCCAGCAGCAAAGAGAGTTCCATTTGTGCTATATTCTGGCCAGATATTTTCAATCTTAAAGATTTAGGCAATTCTGATGAGTATGGAGTATGTAATATCACTGAGTTTAATTTGCATTTCTCTCATAACTAATGATATGGAGTACCTTTTTATATGCTTATAGGCCATTTGGATGGCTTCTTTTGTCAAATCCAAAGACTTAAGTCTGAAGACTTTAAGTCTTTGCCCATCATTTTAAGTTGGGTTTGTCTATATTTTTCTTAGTGATTTATAGGCATCCTTTGTATCTTGTGGATTCCAGTCCTTTGTTGGGTATGTGTTTTGCAAGCATCTTCTCCAACCCAGTGGCTTATTCTTTTACTCTCTTAATTGTGTCTTTTGATGAATTTTTTTTAAAATGAAGTCCAGTTTATTGACTGTTTCTTTAATGGTTTGAGGTATTTGAGCCCTATTTAAGACATTTTTACCCATTCCAAGATCATGAAAGTATTCTTTTATGATTTCTTTGTGAAGCTTTATTATTTTGCCTTTCATATTTAGGCCTAAAATCCATCTCAAATTCATTTTTTTAAACATTTACCATTGAATTGTGAAGGCACCTTTGTTATAAATCAAGAGGCTGCATTTATGTGCGAATGTGCTTTTAGGTTCTCTCTTTTTCATTAGTTTTTCTGTTTGTATACTAGTACACACCAGCTTGATTGTTGTAGCTTTATAATAAATCTTGATAAATGGAATTATAAGCCTTCTTACTTTGTTTTTTTTTAAAGATTATTGTGGCCTTTTTAATCTATCTAATTTTAGTCATAAATGAAGGTTGAGCATCTTTTTATATGTTCAAAAACCATTTGTATTTTTTCTTTTATGAAGAGTTTTTCACACCCATATTAGTTTTTTGTTGTGGCTATAACAAATTATCATAAATTAAATGGCTTAAAACAACACAAATGTATTATCTTCGAGTTTGAGGTCAGAAATCTAAGGTGGGTCTCACTTGGCTAAAATCAAGCTGTCAGCAGCCTTCATTCTTTTCTGGAGGTTCCAGAGAGAATTCATATTCTTACCTTTTCTAGCTTCGAAAGGCTACCTATGCTCCTTGACTTGTGACACCTTCCATCTTCAAAGCCAGCCATGGCTTTTCAAGTTTTTCTCCTACTGCATCACTCTGGCACTGACTTTTCTGTTCACTTTTCTACATTTAAGGACCCTTCTGATTACATTGGCCCTGCCTGGATAATCTAGCATAATCTCCCTGTATAAGAGGTTTAATTGACTCACAGTTTGGCGTGGCTAGAAACTTATAATCATAGCGGAAGATGAAGGGGAAGCAAGGCACCTTCTTCACAAGGCGGCAGGAAGGAGAAGTGCTGAGTAAAGCGAGGAAGAGCCCCCAGATCTCATGAAAACTTACTATCACAAGAACAGCATGGGGGAAACTGCCCCCATTATTCAGTTACCTCCACCTGGTCTCTCCCTTGACATGTGGGGATTATGAGTATTACAATTCAAGATGAGATTTTAGGTGGGAACATGGCCAAACCATATCACTCCCTATCTTAACGTCAGTTGATTAGCAACTTAATTTCATCTGACAATTCAGTTCTCCTTTGCTATATAACATAACATATTCATAGGCTCTAGGAATGAGGACATGAACATCTTTAGGAGGCTGTTATTTTTTCTACCACAGTAACATTTGCCTTTGCTATAGAGTCTGAATGTTTACATCTTTCAAAAAAATTTATGTTGAGATTTATTCCCTAATGTGATAGCATTAAGAAATGTAGGTCATGAGGGCTCTACCCTCATGAATGGGATTAGCACCCGTAAAAAAGAGGTCCAAGGGAGCTTGTTCACCCCTTTTGCCATGTGAGGACATTTAAAAGGTACCATCTAAAAGGAACAGGCCCTGACTATGTACCATCAGATAAGCTGGTACCTTGATCTTGGACTTCTCAACCTCCAGAACTTCTATTATTTATAAATTTTCCAGTCTAAGGTATTTTGTTATAGCAGCCTAGAAGGAGTAAAACAGGATTTCTTTTTAAATTTAGCAATTGGATTGTTAGTCTTTTTTAAATAAACGTCTAGGTGTTCATTACATATTAGGCAGATTAGGTATGATTTGAATTGCAAATGTATTTTCCCAGCTTTTTGTGTTTTGTTTTGTTTTGAAGATTTTTGTTTATTTTGTCCTTAATATTTTGTCATGCAGCCTTTTCTTTTGCTATAGATTAAATGTATCAGTATCAGTCTTTTCCTGTATGGCTTTTGGATTTTGAGTCAGGGAATCCTTCTCTACTCCAGAGTATAATTGTCTTTCTTCATATTTTATTCTAGTATGGTCATGCATTGCCTAAAAATGGGGATACGTGGCCAGGGTCAGTGGCTCACACCTTTAACCCCAGCACTTTGGGAAGCCGAGGCAAGTGGATCACTTAAGGCCAGGAGTTCGAGACTAGCCTGGCCAATATGGCTGATATAGTTTGGCTGTGTCCAAATTTCAAATGGAATCTCACACTGAATTTCCACATGTTGTGGGGAGAGACCTTGTAGGAGGTAATTGAATCATGGGGGTAGGTCTTTCCTGTGTTGGTCTCATGATAGTGAATAAGTCTCACAAGAGCTGATGGTTTTAAAAAGGGAAGTTTCCCTGTACACGCTCTCTCTTTGCCTGCTACCATCCATGTGTGACTTGCACCTTTTTGCTTTCTGCCATGATTGTGAGGCCTCCCCAGCCTCACAAAAGAGGTTTAAGTTCATTAAACCTCTTTATTTTTGTAAATTGCCCAGTCTCAGGTATATCTTTATTAGCAGCATGAAAATGGACTATTACAGTAAATTGGTACCAGGAGTGGTGTACTGCTGAAAACATATCCAAAAATGTGGATGTGACTTTGGAACTGGGTAACAGACAGAGGTTGGAACAGTCTGGAGGGATCAGAAGAAGACAGGAAAATGTGGGAAAGTTTGGAACTCCCTGGAGACTTGTTGAGTGGCTTTGATCAAAATGTTGATAATGATATGGTCAATGAAATCTAGACTGAGATGGTCTAAGATGGAGATGAGTAACTTATGGGGAACTGGAGTAAAGGTGATTCTTGTTATGTTTTAACAAAGAGACTGGTGGCATTTTGCCCCTGCCCTAGAGATTTGTGGAACTGTTAACTTGAGAGAAATGATTTAGGGTATCTGGTGGGAGAAATTTCTAAGCAACAAAGCATTCAAGAGGTGACTTGGGTACTGTTAAAGGCATTTAGTTTTAAAAGGGAAACAGAGCATAAAGGTTCAGAAAATTTGTAGCCTGTTGATGTGATAGAAAAGAAAATCCCATTTTCTAAGGAGAAATTCAAGCCAGCTGCAGAAATTTGTACAAGTAATGAGGAGCTGGCCAGATGTCAATCCCCAAGACAATAGGGAAAATGTCTCCAGAGCATGTCAGAGGTCTTCATGGCAGCCCCTCTCATCACAGACCCAGAGGGCTAGGAAGAAAAGATGGTTTCCTGGGCAGGGTCCAGGGTCCCCTACTGTATACAGCCTAGGAATTTGGTGCCCTGCATCCCAGTCACTCCAGTTGTAGTTGAAAGGGGCCAATGTAGAGCTCTGGCCATGGCTTCAGTGGGTAGAAGCCCTAAGCTTTGGCAGCTTCCACATGGTGTTGAGTCTGCAAGTACACAGAAGTCAAGAATTGGGGTTTAGAAACCTTTACCTAGATTTCAGAAGATGTATGGAAATGCCTGGATACCCAGACAGAATTTTGCTACAGGGGTGGGGCCCTCATGGAGAACTTCTGCTGGAGCAGTATAGAAGGGAAATGTGGGGTTAGAGCCCTCACACAGACTCCCTATGGGGCACCGCCTAGTGGAGCTGTGGGAAGAGGGCCACTGTTCTCTAGGCTCCAGAGTGGTCAATCCACTGACATCTTACACTGTGTGCCTGGAAAAGCCATAGACACTCAGTGCCAACCCATGAAAGCAGCCAGGAAGGAGGCTGTACCCTACAAAGCCACAGGGGCGGAGCTACCCAAGACTGTGGGAACCCACCTCTTACATTAGTGTGACCTGGCTGTGAGACATGGAGGCAAAGGAGATCATTTTGGAGCTTTAAGATTTGGCTACTCTGCTGGATTTTGGATTTGCATAGGGCCTGTGACCTTTTTGTTTTGGCCAATTTCTCTCATTTTGAATGGCTGTGTTTACCCAATACCTGTACCCCCGTTGGATCTAAGAAGTAACTAACTAACTTTTGATTTTACAGGCTCATAGGCAGAAGGGTCTTGCCTAGTCTTGTATAAGACTTTGGACTGTGGACTTTTGAGTTAATGCTAAAATGAGTTAAGACTTTAGGAGAGTGTTAAGAAAACATGTTTGGTTTTGAAATGTGAGGACATGAGATTTAGGAGGGACCAGGGGTGGAATGATATGGATCAGTTTTGTCCCTACCCAAATCTTATCTTAAATTCCCACGTGTTGTGGGAAAGACCGAGTGGGAGGTAATGGAATCACAAGGGCAGGTCTTTTTCTGTGCTGTTCGTGTGATAGGGAATAAGTCTCATGAGATCTGACAGTTTTAAAAAAGGGAGTTTCTCTGTACAAGCTTTCTCTTCACCTGCCACCATCCATGTCAAATGTGACTTGCTCCTCGTCTTCTGCCATGATCGTGAGGCCTCCCAGCCATGTGGAACTGTAAGTCCATTAAACCTCTTTCTTTTATAAATTACCCAGTCTCAGGCATGTCTTTATTAACAGTGTGAAAACAGACCAATACAATGGCAAAACCCGTCTCTACTAAAAATACCAAAAAATTAGCTGGGCTTAGTGGCACATGTGTGTAATCCCAGCTACTCAAGAGGCTGAGGCCTAAGAATTCCTTGAACCAGGGAGGCAGAGGTTGTAGCGAGCCAAGATCCTGTCACTGTACTCCAGCCTGGGTGACAGAGCAAGACTCCCTCCCTTTCAAAAAGAGGGGATATGTTCTGAGATATGTGTCATTAGACTATTTTGTCATTGTGCCAACATTATAGAGTGTACTTAACAAACCTAAATGGTATAGCCTAGTACACACCTAGGCTATGTGGTTTAGCCTGTTGCTCCTAGGCTGTAAACCTGGATAGCATGTTACTGTATTGAATACTATAGGCAATTGTAATACAATGGTAAGTATTTGTGTATCTAAACAGTAAAAATATGGTACAAAAGATTAAAAATTATACATCTGTATATGGCACTTACTATGAATGGAGCTTTCAGGACTGGAAGTTGTTGTGGGTGTTTAAGTGAGTGAGTGATGAGTGATGAGTGATTATGAAGGCCCAGGACATTATTATATACTGCTGTAGCCTTTATAAACGTTATATACTTAGGCTGTAAGTACTGTACACTTAGGCTACAGTTAATTACACACAAAATTCTCTCTCTTCAAACATAAATTAACCACAGCTTACTATTGACATTTTACTTTACAAACTTTAAAAAACTTTTTTACTTTTTTACTCTTTTAATAACAGCTTAAAACACAAACATTGTATACAGTACAAAAATGTTTTTAAATATATTAATTGTATAAGTTTTTTTCTAGTTTTTATTTTTATTTTTGCTTTTTAAACTTTTTTGTTTAAAACACAAGCACACACATTAGCTCAGGCCTACACGGGATCAGAATCATCCATATCACTGTCTTTCACCTCCACATGTTGTCTCACTGGAAGGTCTTCAGAGGCAGTAACATGTATGGAGCCACCATCTCCAGTGATAACAATGCCTTCTTCTGGAGTATCTCCTGAAGGACCTGCCTTTTAGAAGGATTTTTTACAGTAAACTTGAAAAAAAAAAAAGAAGGAATACACTCTAAAATAACAATAAAAAGTATAGTATAGTAAATACATAAACCAGTAACATAGTAATTAATTTATCAAGTATTACATGCTGTACATAACTGCATGTGCTAGACTTTTATATGACTAGAAGCACAGTAGGTTTATGTACATCAGCATCATCACAAATGAGTAATGTGTTGTGTTACAACATTATCACAGCTACTATGGCGGTAGGCAACAGGAATTTTTTCAGCTCCATTATAATCTTCTGGGACTACCATTGTATTGTTGACTGAAACATGGTGACGCGGTGCATGGCTACATTTTTATGGTTTTATTTTTTACATTAAATCTTTGATCCATTTGGAATTTGTCCTGGTATAAGTCAGGTGTGCATTCAGCTTCAGAATTTTTTAAATGGCTGATCAGCTATCTCAAAACTATTTTTTGAATTATTTGCCTGCCTTCCTGGGTCCTGTTGCTACCAGAGCAGCCCTAAGGCATTGCCCAAAATTGCACAGCTAGTCAGTAGCAGTGCTGGGACCGACACTGAAGTCTAGCTTGTGCTATTCAGAAGAAGATGGTACCTGGTTATCAAGGAGCTTTCTCAAGTGGTTGTCTGAGCTGTTTGCCAGACAGGGAGAAAAGAGCTGAGGCAGGGCAACAGTTTTTTAGTTCTCTTGGTTACAAGTGCTCTGTCCCAGGTCTTGCCTTTCTCAGCTCTGGAGCTGATATATTCATTGCCACTACCACACCTGGCTGCTTGGGGCACCATATTTTCCTTGCCAACAGGCCAGAAACATGATAAACGTCTTACATTCAAGAAAGATGTTTTGACAGGGTGCTGTGGTTCATGTCTGTAATCCCAGCACTTTGGGAGGCTGAGGTGGGTAGGTCACAAGGTCGGGAGTTCGAGACTAGCCTGACCAATATGGTGAAACTCTGTCTCTACTAAAAATACAAAAATTAGCCAGGCGTGGTGGCAGGTGTCTGTAGTCCCAGCTACTCAGGAGGCTGAGGCAGGAGAATCACTTGAACCCGGGAGGCGGAGGTTGCAGTGAGCCAAGATTGCATCACTGCACTCCAGCCTGGGCAACAGAGCAAGATTTTGCCTCAAAAAATAAAAGAAAAAGAAAGATGTTTCACAATAAATAGATATTTTACAGAATCTTGCTTATTGCTCAAGTCACATTTCTGTTAAGTCATATATTTTCAAGGCGTATCTTCACATCCCAGATGTAACTTTTTACCTCTCAATTAAGGTGGATTTTTCACTGTTCCTAAATAAGCAACATTTATATCACTCCACAGGAGTCATTCTATATGACATCACAGGTGAGGGTGCCAGGCTGTTGAGGAGGCTCCCATACTAGCTAAATTGCTCTTTCATGCTGGTCATTTTAGGCACAATATTGACCACTTGTTTAGCACAATGCTCTGATCCTTTTTAGGGTTGCTTACCGTAGCAGAAACTGCATTTGTGATCCACTGCACTTGTTTGCAGTTAATCCAGAGGCTTGAGGCCTTGCGAAAGTAAATCTAACTAACGTGAACTCAAAGTGAAAGATACAAAGAATTACAGCAAGTTAGAGACAGCCGTCTGCAGTGCACCATAACTAGTTATGGTGCTAAGTCTCTGTGTTATCCTAGGCAGTTACTCTGCTTCTCTGGGCTTTAGAATCCCCATCTGGAAAATGTGGGAGCTAGACTGGACAGTTTCTAAAGTCTTCTGCAACTCTCAAAGTCTGTCTTCATGTCCTCAAACTGTATTGAACATCTTCATAGACCATCTATACCTGCCTTGCATTAATAGGTGCTTCACATATTTGTTAAATACTGAATGAACATTATGTAAATATTTTTCTCATTCTCTCTCTTCAGCTTACTAGTGGCTGATGATGTGCCATGTACTATTATGGATGCTGTGGAGGAATACAACATTCATGGAACTCACATTCATGTATTCACATTCATGGAACTCCTTAGTGGGAAAGAGAGCTATGGGAATTAAGTCTGGCACATAGTTTGCACTTAAATACTGAATGAATGAATGAGTGAATACAAAGCAGACCATGATAAGAACTAGGAGGAAGAATAAAGAGGTAGGAATGATTAATTTTGGAAATCCTTGTGGAAGAGGTGACTCCTGAGTGGAGGAAGGGTAAAGAGCAGCACTCTGTGCTGAGGGATCAGCATAAGCAAAGGGAAGGAAGGCTTTGAAGTGTGAATCATGGTTGAGGGACAAGTGGTCAGTCAGTAAAACAGCTTAGGGCCAAGTCTCTAATAGTATGCTGAAGGGCATTGACTTTATTATTTAGGCAGTGTAGAACTATCATGGGTTATTTAGGAAGATTCTTCTGAAGTTCACAATTTTAGCAGAAGATAAAATTTTTTTTCTTTAAAGGATAATACCTTTTTATAATGTAAAACTGAAGTAACAGGAGTTAAGTACAAAATGCCAACACTATTCTGAGCATTTTGCATATATCACCTCATTTAGTTATCACCATGCAGGGTAGAAAGTAAATAGAAATTGCACCCGTTTTTCAGATGGGAAAATGGAGACTTCAAGAAGTGGAGCCCAGAATTCAAACTTAGGTCTGCTCACTGCAAGGTCTGAACTTGCCACTCCTTGTGCTGCTCCCTGCAGAGATTTGACTTAGGTTAATTAGCATATCAAGCAGCATAAACTGAATTTTTAATATGCATGTGGCTTTGGAAGACAAGAAAAAGCAACAGCAGAGCTAGCATTACTGATGGTACTTGTTTGTAGGGGCAGAGGTCAGCCTCCATCCTTTTGTCTATCTACCAGAACATGGCACCTAGGGGATGACCATGTGTAGCATTGGGCAGCTTTGACAGTGGCTAAGCAGTCCAGCCCATGAGCCTACTCTGTCCTTCCTTACACAGACATTAGCTTCCTGAACCTGGGCAGCACTATTGTATCTGCAAAACCCAGACTCATAGTATTGCCTCTCAGCATCCACAGCCCTCTGTTTATACTGGTATCCCTCTGTATCACCTGTCCTATGACTGCTGTTCCTGCTGCCTCTTGCCTCTGGAATCCTCTGTTCCTTCTGGGTGTATGTAAAGCCCTTAAATGTAGAACAGCTGTGACTATTCATTCACCGTGCTGTCCCTGGGCAGTGCTTTAGCAACATTCTGTTTGCCTATTTGTCCATTCATGAATTCATTCATTAAGAAGCTGTACCATGCAGTAGAGTACTGGGACAAGATATCTGAATACTAGACAAGCTGCTGACACCTTGAGCAGGCCACTTTCCTTCTATAGGCCTTCTTTTCTTTATGGCTAAAATAGGAGAATTATGTAAGATAATCTCTGAGGTCTTTACTATTTCTCTCACTTTGAGACTGTTTTGTTCAGCCATAAATTCACACCTTCATCCTAACATGAGGTTAGGGAATGCTTCTTAGAAGAGATGATGCTTGAAGTGGGTCTTAAAGGATGAGTAGGAGAAAAAGAAAGGTATTCCAGGAAATGAGATCAACATAAACAAAAGTATGGAGAAGGCATGGGAAACTGGGGTAATTGAGGGCACCTGGAGAGAAGCAGCGCAGTTGGAGACAAGGCCATAGTGATGGCTACGGCCAGATCATAAAGGCTTCAATGTCAGGCTAACGAGCTGGAACTTCATCCTGTGGGGTGAAGGTGCAGGAAAGGTTTTAAAGCAGAGAAATGACTTGATGTGATCTATTTTTAGAAACTAGTACTGTGCAATGGAGAAACCTGGGAGAAATGGCAGTGGGTTTGATATTTTGGCTTTATAAGATATTAACTTGGTAAGTTTGTGATTTTTAGCTGAGGCAAGATGCTGCTGACCTATTGAATGGGGAATGCCATGATTTACAGTCTGATTGTGGCTCTAGAATCCCCAGCGGACTCCTTGACCCAGGTTCTGCCCCATTCTAGTTGCAATCCAGGCCTAGGCCAAAGCCCGCCCTTTCCTCTTCCCATGACAACCAAGCTGAACAGCTGACTTAGGAAGTTCCACAGTGTAGTCCTCGTGTGGCATGCATGCATATATCAGTAGGTCCTCATGTGTTCTCACTACTTCATAGTGTATCAGGTACTTTGATTTATCACCTTTCATTCTCACGGTAACTCTGAAGTTCTCAGAGAAAGTACAATTCCTATTGTACAGTGGGGAAATGGAATCTCAGAAGGGTTGCATGATTTGCCTCAAGCAGCATAATATAGTGTAAGGGGCATGAGGCCTTGGAGTTGGGAAGTCATGGGTTCCATTTCCAGCTCTGCTGCTTAATATCTTAATATCTGACCATGGGCAAAATTGCTACCCTCTCTAAACTTGGGTTTCTCGTCCTTAAAGACTTAGATAATAACAGTTTCTGTATGTGCATGTCATTGGAGCAAATTATGTGGTTTATGGCAACGCTTTTGGCACACAGTAGGTGCTCAGAATGTCTGTTTCTGTTTCCTCTGACTCACTTCAGTGCTCTTTCTGGTGTTTCGCCTTGCTTCCCATATGGCCCTCTTTGTCATCTCTCTTGCTCCTCCATTCTTAAGTCAATGCCACAGACATGTGTTACTGGAAATGTTCTTCCTGAGTACACAGTATGAAGCTAAGCCTTGTGGATGAAGTGAGAGGACATAGGAAATGGCCTTTGGCCTCACTGCTTGCTATCTGATTATTGTGTGTATTAGGGTGTGGGGGGTTTAGCCTTCACTCTTGGAACAAACCTGAGGTGATCGTGATGATCCCTGCACCCTCCTCAGGGAACTTACTGTATGGCAAGAGCCAGGCTCAGTTCTTACACTGTCTCACTAAGCTCTTACACACACTCTTCCATCCACTGCATGTGTATCTTACATACACTTCTGTATTCTTAACATGTAACCCTGTTTTACAGATGAGGAAAATGAGGCTCAGAAAAGCTAAACATGTTAAGATCTTAAACTCCTATTTGATGAGACCAGGATTTGGGCCAGGTTATCTGACTCTGATGCATGCACTTTTAAATTAGATTACTTTTTGCTGATTACAAAACAGTGTATGTACATAGTTTGAAAATTTTTTTAATACTAAAAGGCTTAATAATCGCAATTTCTGCCTCATCTTTTCCCACTCCCTTGTCTAATTCCTGGAGCCAACCATTTTGAATTATTTTTGGGTGTCTCTTTGTATATTTCTAAATCAAATACTTAAGATATAAATTTTAAGATAAATTTTATCTGTTGCTTTCTTATAAACAAAAATGTAATTATCTTATACCACCACCTTTATTTCCCTTCCCCCCATCTTCACCTGTAGTTAAGTCATTAGTTCATTAGTATGAGTAGTGTAAATACTGTTCTCACTGCTGAGCCAAGCAATATATCATGATATGGTTCCTATACTATACTTTTCCTGGAGTTAAAATTGCTTGTTTATTTTTCCCTTCCTTTGACTGACTTTCTGTGTACCAATTATCAGATATTTTGCCTCCAAAGCACCTGTAAAACACCTCTTACACACTTTGCAATATGATCAAAGATGTCAACTCTTTCACCAGTCTCCCCACCCCACTTTCACCACATGCCACTCTGGGGTTCTCCCTTTCCATTACACCCTGAAATGGTTACTTTCGGCCTGCACAGTGGTTACCTGATGACTTCTCTATACCATTTTCCTGTGTTAAATCTCTGTTCTCTATCTTCCTTCTCATTTAGATTAGTCTCATTTTGGTGGGGCACAGGATTCAGTACCTTCTGGAAAAGAGGAGTTGAAGATAAATTTTTTGATTCTTTGAAATTCTGAAAATATACTTACTCTGTTTTCACACTTGATTGACACTTTCACTGTTTGTAGAAATCTAGGTTGGCAATTTTTTTCATTCTGACTTTGACATGCATTTCCCATTGTCCTCTAACATCTGCTGTTACTATTGAGAACTCTCCTGCTTTTTCTAATTCCTGTTCCTTTGTACATGCCATTTTTTTTTCTTTGAAACTTTTAGGAACTTTTCTTTACTTCAGTGTTTTGAAATTTTGTGATGACATGCCTTGCTATGTATCTTCTTTATTCATTGTTCTGGTATTTATTGAGCCTTCTCAGTCCACAGGCTTATGTCTGTCAATTCTGTGAAATCATTCTTGAAATTGTTTTACCATTTTTTTCCCTATTTTTCTTTGTTCTATCTTTCTGGGACTTCTATTGGATGTGTAATAAATTTCCTGTACTCCTAATTTTCTTATCTTTTCTTTCCTCGTGGGCATGTTTTTACTTTTCTTATCACTTTCTGAGAAAACTTCCTGACTCCATCTTCCAACTTTTCTAGTGGAACTTTCATTTAGGTATTATTTTTAATTCTAAGGCTCTTTCTTATTTTTTAATCCTTTAAAATAGTTTTCTGTTCTTGTTCATATTACCGTATCATCTACCATTTTTCTATGGATATTAATTGTAGAATAATTTTTAAAATGTTTTCTTTTGTTCTCTGCCTTGACTCTATTTTTTTCTATTTTTATTTTCTATTTCTTTGTTTTGAGTTCTGTCTTTCATGTTGGTGACTGTGCTGGATGTTTTTTGTTTGCCCTGTAGATGCACTCTCCACCTTTTTTCACACTCCATGTACCCCTAGGGAGGATGATGTGTCCTGCATCAGCTGGCCCTCTGTCTTCTGGTTGGTTTCAGTTAATGAGAGGAACAGCAGATCTGAGGACTGAAAAACAGTGAGGCCAGGGTATTTATTCTCCTAGTTTCTCCCTGCTTACCTGCCATAGCTGCATACCTCTATCAGGGATTCCAGTCTGGTGTCCTGCTCTTTAACTTCACCCTCTGTAATTCTGGCAACCACTCCTTTTCCTTACTTCTTCAGGCTTAGCAGTGGTAGAGCTCTAGTTTAATTTAGTGGTCCTAGAATACTAAACATTGTCCATACCTCTGTAAATGGTTCCTTTATTAAACTCTCTCCTGCTATCCAGTTTGATGCAGTCTTCTGCTGAGCCTCTAAATGATACGGATGTTGTCTTCTCTAAAGATCTGATGATGTTTAGCTGGCTCTTTATAGTGAAAAGAGATAGTATATGAGACTATGTGCATGGAGAGGGTGCATTGGCCCCTGACTTCCATGTAGATGTTTGGACTGAGGAGTTGGGGGAGCTTTGTCATTGGTAAACTTCCAGAGATCAATATTTATGGATTTTCCCCCTAATCTTCTGTCCTGGAGTGTATATGCTTAGTTGTTGACTTTCTGGAGCAGGATGGGGGGAAGGGGGTTGGGAGGAGTCCCATCATCCCTTATGTAGACTGTCAGTCACTTAACCCATTTGTTTAATTCATATCCTCACTCCCACCCTTCAATGACTCTTTTTCCAGGCCCAGGGCTGCCCTTGCTCTGTTTCGTCAGATAATAAATGTGTGCTGTTCCTTATAGTGAGAGATAGGTTGCCTCGTTATGTGTGTTGGGGAGAATCTGGGCATCTACCCCCTATAAATATACTTTCAGGAAATCCCACTGATTTCAGCCCTATCCTTACTTGACTTTCAAAGACACTTGGTACCTCTCAGTCCTGAGGCTTTTCAGTGTCTTGGAAGAAAAATGTGTTTCCTTCTCACTGTTCCCTTCAGCAGGCACAGGGTTTCAGCCTCCTCCACTCTGTATAGTCAGTTACCTCCTTCATCAGTGTTATTCATCTGAAATATGTTGAGCTATCTTGTTTCTCCTTCTATTCCTCTTTTCTTGGTGGATTCATACTTTCTTTATTCCTTTGCAGTTGGTTTAAGAGGGTTTTGGAAGGAAGTAGAGACAAACGTATGGGCTCAATCTATCCCAGCTCATGGAAGTTCCTACTACTCTTTGTAGGCCACAGCTATAAAGGATAGAGGAAGTGACAGCGGCCCAGAGAGTGTGAGGCAGGCTGGAAGTTGTGTGACTGCACAGTGTGACAGAAGGGAAGCCACTCAAAGCTGAAGCTTTGGCACTGTGGCCTTGGTGTTTGTGAGTTTTATGAGTCTGTTCATTTTATTCGGGCAGCATTTCTGAGATGAATTCTTCATATGAAGGGAATTTACTAAGATCAGTTGAGAACTGACTTGAAGAAGTTTTTGCCAAATGGCATTACATAGCAAGAAGGGAGAAAAATATGGGGAGCTCTTAGACAGATGCCTTTTGAAATTTTAATTTTGCCAAATGAAGAAGGTAGCCAAAGAAGATTTATAGGCTTCTGCTGTGGGAGGGACTGCCTTTTGGAAGGGGAAGAAGCAAAATCTTAGCTGATCTTAATGTAAGAAGAGCCCTGGGGTCATAGAACCACAGACTTTCATAGAACCACAGACTTCAGAAACAGCCTGATCTTTACAGAAGAGGAAATTAAGGTCTAAGTTTGGAAATGATTTGCCCAAAGTTACACAGCAAGGTATAGGCTATGCCCAGAGCTGCCACCACGAGTCCTAACTTCAGCTGGCACATTACACCCCTCTGGAGATAGAACATCAGCAACTTTAGAGGTGAGCTCCAAAGGCCCCACCCTTGTCACTGTGACCTAGAAGCCCATGGCCTCAGGATCCCTTGACTTGGCTTATTTCTGGGTAATTTCTGCTACTCACCCTCACTGGAGATGTTATATTCTCCGTTTCCCTATGCTGCATAGGTTTGGAACGAACCAGTGCTGTGCCAAATTGTAGACCTGTGTAGATGTTTCTTTTTGTTTCGTTATTTTTGGGGGCTCCACCAAGGCTCTCCATATGAATTCAAATGTGGTTTAGGAAACAAAAAAGATAATGACTTCAATAACTTGACTTTTTAGGAAAGTTAAGGGGAAAGAAGAGTCCAGGAAGCCAATACACTATATGATCAACTCTCAATATTGATTGAACCGTAATAACAATAATAGCTGACAGTATTGGTCTGTGTGTGGTTTTACACATTTTACATACATTATTAACTGATTGTTTACATCAACAGTAAGGTGGGTACTATGATTATACCTGTTTCACAGATGGTGAAACTAAGGCAGGGAAAGTAAGTAAGTTGCTCAAGGTGGAGAACCTTGTCCTGGGTACTCTGTAGCTTAAGGAGTTGGGTATCTAAAGACACAGGTTAATAATTAGTAATATTCTCTTAAATTTTTCAGTAATAGATTGTTAAGAGCTGCGAAGGGGTCTCTTTTGGCTGCCAAAAGGCTCCAGCTGCAGCCTGTCTCCAAGAAGGCATATAAAGGGAACATTTCACTTTTTCTGGAAACTGGGAATTTATATACACAAAAGATGATGAAATCAGGATCTAAACAAGGGTGGGAATGTGAACAGAGTCAACAAAGTAATATGTAATTGGGAATAAATATAAGAGTGGTAGAAATGGTAAATCTTAGGTATTGACTGAGTCAGCTTGCACTAGGGAGGCCAGAGGACGGGGAGCCAGCCGTGGAAGCAGAGATGTTAACAGAGAGGGGAGGATTAGGTTGTGAGTTATATTGCCTTTAAACTGTCAGTGGGATAGGTAGTGGGGTAGTCTGAACACGGTCCTGTAAAAGAGGCCTAGAGAGGAAATTTGTGGGTTAGGGGTGGGGATGTGGTTTTCAATATCTTGCGTTACAGGACCACATCTGTGCCCACACTGCAGAATAACCTTTGTCCATTCCAGAGAGAGCCTGCAAAGTGCAGATGGCCATGGTATACTTGGGAATGTTGGGCTGATAGAGTTAAAGTGGGCTGGAGCTAGAAAGGATCTCAGAAGCCAACTGTTCCCAATCTTCATCTATAAGTGAAATATCCAAATCTTAGAAGGGGCAGTGATATGTTTCAGTTGTGGGCCAGCCGGAGGACATGCCCAGGCAGACTAAGAAAGCAGATCTCCCACCACTCAGCCCAGGTCCCTTTGCTTCAAATCATGTCTCAAAGGTTTGCAGTTTTGCTTTGTACAATTTCTGTTACCTGCGGTCAGCCACAGCCCAAAAATACTCAATAGAAAATTCCCGAAATAAACAATGCAGAAGTTTCACATGCTGAGTAGTGTGAAGAAATCTCATGCCATGTCACTCCATCCCACCCAGAAGATGAATCATCCCTTTGTCCAGTGTGTCCATAATGTATATACTATCTGCCTGTTACTATGTAGGAAAAAACAGCAAATATATATAGTTTGGTACTATTTTAGGCATCCCTTGGGGGTCTTGGAACATGTCCTCTGAAGCTAAGGAGGCACTACTGTATTTGAAACTGTGACAGTTTCCAAATCCAGGACTGATTATTCCCTAGTGAAGATGTCTTTTTAATCTGGCTCCTTAAACTGTTCAGATACCTTTGATAATCTTCAATATTAAAATTAAATATAAATTACCTTAAGTAATTTACTTTCCCTCCAAGGGTTCCAATTGCACATCCATAAAATAAAGAAAATATGCTGGCCCTCTCCTCCCCCACTTTACTTTATACAGACTTTCTGAGGTGGTAACAAATATAAGCATGGTTGGAAAAGAAAGGTAATAATTTTGTACAAAAGTAAGATAGAAGATTATCGTTTTAATAAATGTTGTTTCATTATAATTTTCATATGAAGTCGATGTGATTTTGAGGGGGACACTAAGTCCATGAAAGAAAGTCAGCTCTCCTCCTTCCTAGCCATGCAACTTCGAGTGACTTATAAGCTCCTTGTGTAGCTAGAGAATGAAAATGCTCAGAGCAACGGTGACAGTTAGATGGGATAATATATGTAAAGGATTGAGCTTAGTGCCTGATGCTTGACAGAAGCAGTAAATGCAGATTTCTAGACTCCACATCCTTGCCAGAACTCAGCATGATTCAGTTATCAATTTTTACCAATCAAAGGTGAGACTCAAAATGTTATTCTACCAAAATAAGAATTTAGTTTCAAAGATAGAGGGTATCGGTCCAGATTCAACTAAAGAAACAGACCCAGAAGGAGATGCAAATTAAGATATTTAAGGTGAGGAATTGGCTTGCGTAACTGTGGAGACTGGCTAGCAACCTTGAAATCCATAGGGCAAACTGTCAGGAAGAACAGGCAGTGGCAGCAGAAGTAGGAGGCAGGGAAGAGATTTGAAAGCCAGTGCTTGTCAGGAATTAAGTGGTCTAATATGAAAAGTATTGAGAAGGGAAGGGCAAGAATGGGCAGGATCAAGGATGTGGTACCCTTTTCTGCTTGGTAGACTGGGGAGATATGTCATCATTGAGAAGAGAGATGCCTGGAGGGAGGAAAGAATAGGCTTTAGGCAAGGTAATGAATTTACTTTTTAGCATAACTAAGTGTAAGATGCCTGTGGAACATCCAAATAGGACTACTTGGTAGAAGATTGGAATGAAAACTTTCAGCTCTATAGAGAATTCAGGGAGTTGGTTCTGTAGAGAAAGCTTCGTGAAGCAGAGCTACTTAATTACAGTTTTTTCTTTATGTATATGTACATAGCGTTTCTGCTAAGTGGCCCTTCTATAGGGTATGGTGTTGTGATGGCTTTAATAATGTTATATAAATGTCACTATTCTGGGATTATTCTTGCTGCTGCAATAATTTAGCCCAGGGCAAAGACTGATTTCCTGGTCCTTTTTCTTTTTTTTTTTTTTGAGATGGAGTCTCACTCTGTCATCCAGGCTGGAGTGCAGTGGTATAATCTCGGCTCAAGTGATTCTCCTGCCTCAGCCTCCCGAGTAGCTGGGACTACAGGTGTGTGCCACTGTGATCAGCTAAATTTTGTATATATATATATTTTTTTTAAGTAGGGATGGATTTTACCATGTTGGCCAGGCTGGTCTCAAATTCCTGACCTCAGGTGATCCACCTGCTTCGGCCTCCCAAAGTGCTGGAATTACAGTCATGAGCCACTACGCCTGGCTTCCTGGTCCCTCTTTGCGGGGACCAACTCATCTTGGTAGACTTTCCAGATTCCAATAAGCTATTGCAAAGGTTGAATCCTCAGTAGACGCCCCATACATGAATACATAGGAAGGCTCTGTCTCTCTGAGGAAAAGCCAGATGGAATCATTAATTTCTGTGGAGTGACCTGAAAGCACATAGCACCAAGTATGATTAATGACTTTGTGTAGCAGCTTACTGCCCCAGTAAACAAGGCCAGCTCAGTCAGGTTGCCTGGGAAGAAGCACTGTGTGCTCTTCCTTGACCCTAGACCTCCTCTCAGCAGGTCTATAGATAACAGATGGGGGTATGGTGCCTTGGGAGATACAGGAGCAGGGGGAAGGAGAGGAAATGAACATACACTTAACATTTCCCATGTGCCATTTCATGATGATAATGATGAAAGCAGTGACAGCTAACACTTACTGATTGTTTGCTTTGGTGCCAAGCACTGTTCATGTATGGTGCTTTGTTTTTCTATTTAATCATCACAACAACCGTGTGAAGTGGGTACTATTGTTTGCCTTGTTTTACAAGTTAGGAAATCAGGGCAGAGAGATTAAGTGATTTTCCTAGGGTCACACAATTATTTAATACATCTAAGGTGGGACTTGAAAAATGTTTCTAAGCCCACAGTTCCAGACTCCATGCTACTTCTCTCTGATACTGTCACAGCCACTTTCCCTTCCCTGGTCCTGTCATGCAGGGCAGCAAGACTACAGGGTTCTTTCTCTGATAGTTCTCATAGATTTCTGTCTTCGCTTTATTGGGTGAGTGGGTTGTGGGAAGCACTGAGCGAGAATTAGGAGACCTAAGTTTTTATTTCACCCTCGGTCTGACCTTGCCTCAGATCTGACCCTCACATTCTTCATCTGTAAAATGGAGATAGTAACATCTACCAGGGTGTTATGAGGATCAGATGAATAAATTGCTAGGAAAGTGTTTTTTTGTAAATGTTGAGAGTTACCCTGTTGCATCTATAATTAGTACTTTGCTTTTCAGAATATCTTCTTTCCTGTTACCTTTCTTGACCCTGACTCCTTTTGTCCTTTATTATGATTTGTGACATTTTTATCACTTAAAAGTCTATGATAATCATGCTTAAGGCAGGAGGCCACTGAAATTCTTACATAAATAATTCCACCTACCTGAGCCAAATGGAGGGGGTGGGGTGGGGTGGCGTGTAGCAGATTTAGCAGCTGCTGAAGCTATAACCAAGAGAAGTTTCCTTGTCAGTCACAGGAATGAATCATTCAAATGGCTGCCTTGCTGGGTCCTTCCCAGAGCCAGAAGGTAAATTAGGGAGCAGTGTTGCTTTTATCACTCACTAAGCTTAAAATGAAGCTCAGTCTCTTTGAAATGTAGCAAGGATTTCTGTTTGAAAGAGCATGGGTTCTGAACTCAGACTGACCTGAGTTCATTCAATTCCCAGTATTGCCACTTAGTAACTGAATGACCTTAGACAAGTCATCTCACCTAACTGGGCCTCAGTTTCCTACTCTGTAGATGCTTCCCAAGGTTGTTGTGCAGCTCAGATGAGATCATGGGTATAAAGGGCCCAGCATGGTACCACACGCTCATTAGACTCTCAACAGTTTTTACTTTGCTGTGTCTTCAAGCTGTGGGAATGAGCGCCTTGGGGAGGTAGATTTGATGGGGAGTGAAACAACCTGGTTTCCAGAGTGCACAGGCAGAGAACTCAGTAATAGACATTTGAATCACAGCTCTATTTTTAGTTCAATCCAGCCTAAGGTTTCAAAATGTGGGTTCTTCCTCCTGTCCCTTTATCCTTTCTGTGTAAGCAGTGGTGGGGGTGGGGTTGTCCACCTTCTCTGAGGCGAGTATTTCTGCCATTTCAGTCATATCTTTTTCCTTATTAGTGTCCAACACAGTCACCTTGGATACATCAACTTAAAAATCTGTGATAATGCGTAAATGCAAGTGTTTTACTCTTGTCTTCAGCAAGATTCTGTCACTGCTACTCCAGGCTTCAACTCTCCAACTTCTAAAACTTTGGAGAAATTTCATCCATGACCCCTCGCCCATGTTTCTAGTATGGCTGACTTCATGAATTTGGGGAGCACAGCAGTAAATACTTTTCTATCAAGTCCTGTCTCTTCCTTCCCTTCTCAAGATGCACAAATCCCTACACAGGGATAGTCACAGAGCAGCCTCATGTGCATGGGCTCCATACAGCATCCTTGTACTCATGTGTCTTACAGAAGAGGGATGCAAACTGCTAGATACACAGGAGACACATAATAATTAGCGCGTGTTCATTTCTTCCTTGCAGCAGCTCTCTGGTAAGTAGGAATATGGTTTCATGGTTTAGGGCACTGGATTTCAAATTAGGGAGACCAAGGTTTGAATCCTAACTCTGTAACTTAACAGCTGAGTGACCTGGGACAAATTATTGAACTCCTCTGAGCATAGGTTTCTTCTTCTATCAACTGGAGATAATAGTACCCATCTCACAGGACTGTAAGGAGGAGTGACAGAATGTGTAGAAAGCCCTCAGCACAGGGCCAGCACACAGTATGGATATATACATAGTAATTGTGACAGTTTCTTAGGAGAGAAAATGTTGCCCCAGGAAAGTTAGCTAATTTATCTAAGGTAGTATCATCCCTATTTTATGTAGAAGGACATCAAGGCTGAGAGTCAAGCATGTTGTCCAATGTTATACAGTAAGTAAGCAGCAGAATGTAAACTACAACCCAGGTCTCCTGACACCTCAGCCAGATCTCCTGACATTTCACCAGAAGCCTCTGGAAAACTGGAATAAATGCCCCCCCGCCAGCCCATATACAATTTCCACCCTGGTGGTGGAATCCAAGCCCAGCTTCCCCTCTGCTGAATCTGCTTTCTAGAAACAGGCTGCCAGTGAAAGATGTATACAAGTGTGTATAGAAATGCATACATATATGTGATTGAGTGGGAAAATATCCCAGGGAACCACGATTACCAGAGTACTCCAAGAATGCAGTATTTTGGTTAATGGATTTTTCTCAGAGTATTAACCTCTTGGTTTCAGGCCTTATTGAAAGTCATTACAAAAGGCATTGCAACTATTCACTCTGATGCTAGAAGGAGCTGTATAGTGAGCATAATTAAATTCTCTTTAAGGTGACAGAGGATCTTGGCAGGATGTCCATTTATCACCAGAATGATCAGTTGCAATGTTCAGGACTCTAATAACAACCCATATGTCTGTCTTGGTCTTTTACACCCATTATAACATATGTGCATGTGTGTGTTGGGAGTAAAGGGCAGGATGGGAAGGTGATTATCCTCCTCTTATTAGGGAGGAGGCAGGATTTGGAGAGCATGAATGTCATGTTGGGCATCTGCTATGATTTAAATATGCTTCTCAAAAGTGCATGTGTTAGAAACTTGATCCCCAGTGTAACAATCCTGGGAGGTGGGGCCTTTGGAAGGTGATTGGTTCATGGCGGCTCCAATCTTATGAATGGATTCATGTCATTATTGCGGGAGTAGGTTATTGCAGGAGTGGCTTTGTTAAAAATACAAGCTCTTTCTCGCATGTGCTCTCTTCTCCCTCCACCTGTCCACCCTGGGATGACCCTCACTAGATACCTCCACCATGCTCTTGGACTTCCCACCTTCCAGAACTATGAGCCAAATCAACTTCTTTATAAATTATCCAGCCTGTGGTATTCAGTTATAGCAACAACAACAACAACAACAACAACAAGACCAGGAGAAGATCATGTATCTTGAAAGTAATAGAACTAGAACTGAAATGGCATTTGCTGAGACATAATATAGTAAAGGAGAAAAAACATAGATTTTTGAGTCAGACATACTTGAGTTTAAATCCTGATTTTACCACTTACTGATGATTTTGACCTTGAATAAATTAATCTCTCAGGTCCTAAGATTCCTCATCTGTAAAATGGATCTAATGATATTTCCCTTGCTGGGAGTAATTTTAAGAATTCTAAGTAATGTATATAAAGCATCCAGCATTGTGCCTGGTCAGAGTAGGTCCTCAGCATATGGAAGCTATTATTATGTCTCCTAGTCCCATGCCCTTTCCAGTCTACCAAGATGTCTACTACTGAAGATATAGAAGGTACAAGGGATTGGACTGACCTTTCTTCAGCCCATCAAACTCTAGAAGTATTCCCATTAGCTTCAAGTGTGGGATTAGGGGGTTGTTTTTTCCCTTTCTATTAACAGAAGCCTGAGACAGCTTTTATTCTATAGGTAAAACTTAAATAATTTTATGTTAATACAAGAGCTGCTGCAAAGCAATAAAATAAATATCACACATGACTGTTGTTGATAATAAGTGCCTACAGTCTGGGAATGCTTTCTGGATTTAAAAAATATGCATAGAATTTGACTAGGAGAACAAGAGATATATTTCATGTAGGATCAAATCAAAGGTGTAGAGGTAAGACAACATCAGATTTGCTCAGCTTGGCTAGAAAAAAAATTGTCATTGGTAGGGGAGCATACATGATAAGGATGGAAAAATGACTCATATATAGAGCTTCATGTGTGCATGTAAGCACGCACATGTTACTCTCTTTTCCTATACGTGTACATTGCTAATCTAAAGTACTTAGAAATTGATTAGAAGCATTGGCTGAATAGATATTATTTCATCTCTCTTTGATTTGTAGGAAAGCAATGTGGTCAGAAGAAAGAGAGCTAGGCTGGGAGCTGGGAGACCCAGATGTTGCTCTTGGTACCACCCCTATTCAACCATATGATCTGGACAAGACATGGAGCCTCTCTGGGCCTTGTCTCCTCATTTATAAAAACATTTGGGCCACTTTTGAAAAATCCTTTGGCATACTATCAAGAGCCTTGAAGATATCCATTCACTTTTATTTGTTAATTCATATGCTGGAATTCTTCTCTGAGGAAAGATCTTAAATATGGAAAAAGCTTTATGGTTAAAGATGTTCATCATAGTATTTTTCTAATTTAGTAAAATTAGGAGCTACCTAATTTTACTAACATTTGGGACCGGATAAAAGATGACGTATCTGCTTGACTAATTTGTAGTGTTTATTAAGTAAGAATTACAGCATTGGTCATGTAAAAATGAAAACAAAAAGCCATATATGAAAAATAGACTGGGTAATATACTTCCCAGTGAGGAAGCATTTTAATGTTATCCATACCCTTCGTGATCCAGACCCAGATGTTCACCCCAGCTGTCTTTGT